GTCTCCAGTTAGGTTTTCAAAGAGTAACATATACTTTTTATACTATATCAATATATCATTTAGTTAATTTTTAGATTAAAAAAAAAAAACAGATAAAATATTGGCGACTTTTGCTTTTTATTGTTAAAATGCACTTGGACGCAAGCATTCTCTAATCCTGCTCCTAGATTAATTATATAACATTATATTAACAACCTTTTTCTGGCCTAGGGAAGTGATAAACTGAATTTTAAGAAAACATAAAAATGTACATTGTATTTGTAGGTGCCAAGGCGGTGGTAGTGGCACTATGGCAACTGCCGGACCAAGCGACCAAAGCCTTTATGACCAGCTTTTATCAAGATCTTATCGCGAGAAACACAGTCAGCCGCGCACTCAGGAATGCCATGCAAACCATGCAAGATCGGCCTCGCACCGAATGGGCGTCTTTCACAATAGTTGGTCGTGACGTCAGTCTTTGATTGTAATTTTAATGACGTCATAAACAGAAGGCACGTCACAGAGACAAGAAGGAACTTTATTCCTGCGTTTATAAACCATCATGATCATATAGTGTTACTGACGCCAATGTATCCATTACAAAGTTTGTATACTCTTATAAGAGTTCCCTGTTATGAAATTTTTATTCAACGCAATTTTGGTAAATTAATGGACACCCTAATACTATCAGATGACTAAAGAAACATGCCCTGCAGTCGATGCTGAAACCCCAAATTAAATTGTTAGGGGTATACATGTAGTGTCAGTCAGTGCTAGCCACCCCTCACCATTATATTAAATGTCAAATATTTTTCAACACTGCAATAGTGACAACAAGATTGTAAATTTAAAAAAAAACTTTAAAAGTAATGAATATATTTTGAATTAATGTTCCTCGGGAGCTTAACAAAGTCAGAATGAAATTCAAAAGGAAAAGTGCTTGTTTAATAAATTCTTTTAATGAAACCTTTTTGGTCATACTGTTTCAGCCAACAAAAGAATAATATGTATTGTTTCATTCAGGTATATATTATTTCTAAATATTTTGTTCACACACGTGTGTTATATACAGTAACAGCTCTATGGCATAACAGGTGGATGGTCAGAGCGTCTTGGTTGTTTAAGGGGATTTTTTTTTTTTTTTTTTGGCTTGAAGAAATGGTCTCTACAAACTCCAGTCTGAGTAATCAAATAATTCAAAGTACACTTGTAATACAAGTAATACCAGTTTCTTTATACAAATAATTCTACAAAACACACGTTTTTATCTTCACACATCATCTTCTGCTTTTTTTAGTTTTCCCCTCAATTTGCAGGAAACCCCAATTGCACTGGACACAAGCATTAAGTGTTCGACCGTCATTGCTGCTACATGGGCAAGAATTGATCTTACAACTAAATTTGGTCGCACTCCAGTTTTTCTATTTTTTCATTGCCTGCAGCAAAAGACAGTAGGCCCAGGTTACTTAAAGGTGATGGTTTATCTTTAACGGAAATTGGATTTCTGTTTGGGTAAAGTGTATAAATGATAAGATAAGTATACAGCAAATACTATATCAATATTTATCCAACGTAATGCTGGAAAATGTTGCGTCAGAAAAATTCCGCTCATAAATTAGAAATGTTTTGACACCGTAACCATAGAGCGGCAATAAACAGAAGCACTATAGTCCGGACATACACAAGCATTTCGTGAATCGTGAAGTCGGGGAAAGCAAGAATTCCGGATAGTTTTAAAATATTAAATTCACTTTTAAGGGTACCGTCCATCTAAGGAAGACTTGAAACTCACCATCAAATCTTCTGGATGTCAGTATAGAGATACTCTAAGCTTCAGGAGTTCAGAAACATGATATTAACAGTAAACCTCGAAGGATTGTAAGTTTCCACTCTCTCGGAAATGGCGGCTGTTTACATCATATATATCGGCAAGTCTCGCGAGATTGTGTCTGCCCTGCTGGTGGTTTCATTCCAACAAAACTGATCCAAAGCAACGCATTAATATGAATTTGCTTCTTTCATCTCAATGTTTACGTGTTTTATTTACATACAGGAGATATTCTTAAGTCGCACCATCTATACCTCATCAAAACGTCAACATTTTATGAACAAATCCAATCTGGGGTATCTGTGTTTTTTTGTCTGTTGATTAATTATATAATAATTAATTAATTGATTAATTAATTACCAAATACGTATTATTAAATCAATAAATATGTATGTGCTTAGCCTAATTCATCTAACTATTTTACCTTTGAGAAATAAATAAATAATCATTATTCCTTATTTATGTATTAATCTTGTTTTTTTTTCTCCAGTTTTCTATTCTTTTATTTCATTCATTAAGTTTTTGTTATTATTGATAATTTAGGCCTACTAAGAACCATTTTATTGTAGTACTGGGTACGTGCCTGATTGCCATTGCTTTGTTTTGGCACTAGTAAACGGTGCCCAATAGTCATGCAGGGGCGGATCCAGGATTATTTGAAGGGGGGAGGGTCCGTGGATGCCAACCCTTCCCCTCCCCATGATTCAACTAGTCAAAATTCTAATTTGAAGAGGAAACCTTTGGTGTGATTTTTTCAGAAATCGAAGGAGGAGGGGTCAGGACCCCCCTGACATCCCCCTAAATCCGCTACTGGTAGTGTGCGTTTAAGACTTCCTGCCCTGTATAAAAAAAAATAATAATAACATTATAGATTAATTAATAAACGCAAAGATGAAATTCCTGCAAATCACAATAAAAATATTTTACTTGTGAAATTAAAATTCGTACACAAGATGGCTAAACTTTTGCGTTTTAATATTTTCTAATTGTTATATTATTAAAACATCAAGTATTTCAAGCATTTGAAGACCTACAAGGTACCTCATACATGATACGTGGTATCCATGCAAGAAGCTTTGGCTTTTTTTTTAGTGTGTATTAGGGTCTAATGAATTCTGTTTTGTCTCTGGAAGTAACATTTCCGAAAAACAACTGCTTTCCAGAGGCACATGTACATGCAATATCACTGCTTCTTCAGATCCTCCCTGAAAACTATGGATTGACGATATCGATATCTGACCCTATGATCGTGACGTCAATTGACCTCATAAAATTCCCAACATCTATTTTTAGCCTTTGACTCGATCACGCTTAACAGTGTAGAAACCATATGTCAAAGAAAAATTGTATGTGGAAACTCTGACCGTTAATATCAAAATTGCGACTGAAGGATATATTTGATCCCCTTTAAAGCAGGTAGGGGCTTAAGTTACAAAAGGCACAAAACACATGGTTTCTACACACACTGGACAAAAGAAGTGTCACCCCTACTGAACTAATACAATGGGGGAGATAAATGACTGTGGAATGATATGCTCCTGGTATCATTTTATTAACATCAAATTTCACAAAAAATCACAAAATGAGAACAAAATATACATTCTACCAAAATATGTAGTTTCAAGTCCAAAATTAGTACTTAGTGGCATAGCCACGTGACCTAATAATAGGTGCCAGTCTACGAAGCAAGGATTCATTTAATTGTCTGATGCGTTCAGGGCTTATGCTGGCCCAAGCATGAACCACTGAATATAACAGAGTTTCTCTGCTGGTTAGACGGGCATTTATAAAAAGTTATGACATACCATTCCACACATTTTCTATTATGTTTGTATCCGGACTCTGGGCAGGCCACATCACCCTGCGAATGTCCTGTTGGTCAAACCAATCATCAACTGCTCTGGGCCTGTGACAAGGAGCATTGTCATCCTGGTGAACAGATGGATAATTCCTTTCACCAAACATGTTAGTAATAGATGGTAGCAAGCCTGACTCCAAAACATCGATATATTTCTAGTGATTCATGTTTCGATAAACCACTATCAATTCGCCCAAGCCATGGTTGCTGATGCAGCCCCACACCATGATGAATATGCTGCTCCGGGTTCGAAAATTCAGTGCATGTGGTTCAAATGCTTTACCAGCAGTTTGCCAGCATAGTACCCGTCTGTCATCAGAGGTC